ATTTTTAATACAACATCGAAGTTATAACTAAATTAAATTTAAAAAAAAAGTTCATAAGTCGCTAACACATTATTAATTAACTTATTAAATTTTTATTTTATTGACACGAACATTTTGTTCTAAAGAATTTTTTATCACATACTCTTTTTATACATTTTTAGTCTAGTTTTGCGTTTATTTTTCTTATCAAATTTTGCAAAAAATGGGCTTTGTGGCATAACGAATAGCCGTTGGCATTAACAAATTTTGTTAGAAATTGGAATTCAGCTAGTAAAGACCGCCGACTCTGATAAGTAACTAACAAACGTATAATTTTTATTAGTTCTTCATGCTCTGGCAATTCAGGAAACATCTTTTGATAGTTCCCCAAGAGACATATGTGACACGTAAAGTTAAAAGGGACCTATGCTCAGAAAAAAAGATTTCGAGAAAAACGACTTTGAAGTTTACCAAGTTGATTTTGATGCTTCTGAATGTTTTAATGGATTGAAACTCGTTACTCGGGGGTTTTCGGGGTCGCTGATTACGAATCCGATGTTAGTTTTCCAAAATTCAAACTGCAGAATCCAATATGGCGGATGACTTTTTTAAAAATTGATCGGCATCGCTTGAAACTCGTTACTCGGGTGTTTTTGGTGTCGCTGATTACGAATCCGATGTTCATTTTTAAAAATCCAAAAAGGCGGATCCAATATGGCGGAAAAAATTTAAAATTTGTTCAGATTCAAGTGAAACTCAAAAATGTCGTTGACACCGAAAACGAGGTCAGTGATTACGAATCCAATGTTCGAAAACCCCCGAGTAACGAGTTTCAAGCGAATTTGATTAATTTCAGAATAGTTTGTCAGATTTGATTTTTTTGTGAAAGTACCCAACTTTGAAGTGAAATTGTGAAAAATCCAATGCAGCTGGAAATCTGCGGTTTATTGCATTGGAAAGAGTGGGCCGTTTACTATAAGAGTCGGTGAAAAAGTGAAACCCGATTTTTTCTGACCGTGGGTCCCTTTTAACTTTACGTGTCACATATATAAAAATCAGCTTTTCTACTATGACAAAAGCATAACTACAAGTTATCATGGTTTAAGGGTGTCTGGCAGGGGGTAGGAACCAAGCTAAGTGTCTGGCAATGAACCGTCGTTCATTTCTTATATTATTACGAATAAAATATATAAAAACTGACCTTTATACTATAACGAATTTTAGGTGCTGTTTTATACACCTTTACCACCTGAGACCTGCCAAAGCCACCACTTTCCAAATTTCATTAGCTGGGTTCGTTATTATCTGTATTGGGGGCATACATAGCGAAAATTTCAGCCTTTATAAAATAACGAAGGTCTGGCCGTCGCTAGCTCTTGGGCTATTAGCACATGATACATCATGTGGGCAAGACGACTTCTCCTTAGGTTGGTTTTTTAACAAATTATAACAAAAATTTGCTCCAGCTTTTGCTGAAAGGTAAATAAAAGCTGTGTACATGTTTAGTACATAATTTCAAAAATGCAAAATTTTCAGTTGTGACTCTTTTGAAGACGGTGTGCGAAGAGCTGCCGCCCTTGTTTTTGGGCCAAAGTACAGGGAGACTCTTAATAAATCAATAAAGAAAACACTAAAAATCGGGACTTAATCGGTACAAATATGTAAAATCCGGACGCTTATACGACTTTTAAAAAATATTCAACGGGACAATTTTCTCAAAATCGGTACTGCGCCGGCAAAATCAGTACGAATGGTCACCGTATTATACCTTCTCTCTCCTTCGTGTTCGACATAGTAACGGGTTAGATTGATTCTCAATTTCTCCATTCCTTCTTGAGCGTATAAATTTTCATATTCCTTATAAAAGACTTCGAAATCAGGACACTATTTCTTAGAGCTAGTTAGAACTTTTTATGCTTCTCACGCTCCAATACTGCAAGCTTTGAAAGAATTCAAATTCATCTCAAATTCTCCAGCATTAAATGAATTTTGCACATAATGTACTAAGCATATTTTTTCCATATAGTCTGTAAGAAATGTTGTATTTCTAGTTTTTTAAATAAATAGTTAATAAATAAAATTTGAGTTATTTTTCCTCAAAATATCAAAGCACATTGATCGCATGGAATGGAGCAACAAAACGGATTTGATGGCTCATGGTACCGACAGCGGTGAGTAATTAATTGTGATTCCCTGCGACTAGGAAAAGTCGATCTCAGCTAATAAAAAAAAACAAAACTAATGACAAGCCAGATGAACCTTTTCAAGAAGTCACCCGGGAACTAAGAAGATCTGAAACTTTCATCGTCCGTGATTCCAATAATTGTAATTATTATAAAACACGCGGTGCCTTTTTAACAAAATAACAAGATTTTAAACTAATTCGGCTGGCAGCCACGACTTTCAAAACAGAATTTTCTTCGAAATTTTCATTCCTAGAAAATAACAATTTATTTGCCATCTCCACCTATTTAGAACCTCGCTATAAGCACACATTTTTCAAACCAGTCACAGAAGAATAGATTAAAAATGAATTGCAAAAACTAAAGTCCAAAACCGCTAATGACGTTACAGGTTCTCCCAATCAGAAGAATGAGAATGAAGAATTCTTTGGAAAGCTACTTTGTTTAAACAACGATCTTGCCATGATGCTGGACAGTGAAGATGAAAGTCAGGAGAATACATCCGACATTTGCAGCCCCGATGCAGTTCTCAAAAAGGAGTTATTGCACCACAATAAAAAAAAATATAACTGAAAGTCTTCTCAACTGGTGCTGCATCAATCCAAAAGAATTTACAATTTTGTCAAGTTTCAAGTTTTTCAAGTTTGTCGCCTCGAGTAGTTATTGAGTGGTGGTGGTGTGATTTACGACCCTTTAAGAAACAGGCCTTCAGGTACTAAATAAAAAAAAATTCACCTAAATCACCTAATTTACTCAGTTCAATTAATTCTTAAAAATACTTGACATCCACATTCGCATCCGCGGATATCTAAAATTACACATTCGCAACATCCCTAATTTCCAAACGATATCTCTTAACACAGTTATTCATGAAAATTATTAAAAAAGAAAATGAAAACGTTATAAAAAACCAGATCCAAAATTAAATAATTTTTATTAGAGGTTTTATTTCATCTCACTGTGAGTATGAAATCATAAGGAATGTAAATAAGTAAACAAATAACTGTCAAATAAAAGTTCCAGATTCATACAGCCAATTTCACGAAAGCAATTTAGGTGAAAAATTATTTTGATTTTTCGATGTTTATCCATAAAGCAAAAAAATTAAAAATACAGACGTGGTCCGTCTTTTTTCTCTTCTTTACAGGTGCTATAACAGGTCAAAGGGCAGATCTTCGAAAAATTAAAAACTTAATATTTCAGAAATTTTTGAACTGATTTTTGAAAGATTTGCATCGTTGTAAAGGTGATTTAACCCCCTTTCTTGTGATATGCATATTTGTATTAATCGTATATAAAAATTTGAGAATAAACACATTTAAAGGAGAAAATAAAAAATACAAAAATATTTTAAACAAAAAAATTGCGACCGATTTTTTAAGAATTGATATCGTTGTAAAGGCAATTAAACCCCCTTTCTTCTGATATGCATATTTGTATACCTTGTGAATAAAAATCTGAGAAAAAAATACTTAAAAGGAAAAAAGGAATTAAAAGGAAAAAATACCTTTTCTTGTAAAAAACAAATATTTTAAACAAAAAATTACTCACCGATTAAAAAAAAAAAAAGGCATTGTTAAGGCGATTAAACCCACTTTCGTTTAATATGCATATTTGTATACTTCGTATATAAAAGTTCGAGAAAAAACACTTAAAAGGAAAAAATACCAATTTTTTCATCCAACAAAATTTAAAAAAAAAAAAATACTAATTAGTAATACAATTGAATGCCGTACTTAAATAAAACAAATTATTTATAGTGTTTTAAGCGTTAATTCGTTCTTGTTTGCCCACAGCCCTGTTAAAAATAAAGCAAAAGTATATGTAACAGAAGTCTAAGGCATATAAAAATATAAAAAAACCATGGTTTTTGATTTTTTACGTAACAGGTTATATAGAAAAATTAAAGATACTTTTACAAATATGCATATCAGAAGAAAGGGGGTTTAATCGCGTTTACAACGCTACCAACCCTTTAAAGATCGGTTAGTAATTTTTTTGTTTAAAATATTTTTTTATAAAAAGCTATTTTTTCGTTTGAATGTGTTTTTTCTCAAATTTTTATATACAAAGTATACAAATATGCATATTAGAAGAAAGGGGATTAAATCGTCCTTACAACGATCCCAATTTTTTTAAAAGCGGTAAGCGTATAAAATATTATCTTTTATAAAAAAAGGTATTTTTTCATTTAAATGGGGTTTTTCTAAAGTTTTTATATACAAAGTATACAAATATTTATATCGAGAAATCAGTTCAAAACTGTTTGAAATATAAGGAATTTAATTTTTCGAAGACCTTAGCTTTGACCTTTTATATATAAATTAAAGCAAAAGGAGGACTGCGTCTACATTTTTAGGTTTTTAGTTATTTATATGCCATAATTAAATATAATTTTTTACCAAAGCTCCTATTTCGAACTTCGAAGGCCCATATCTCGATTAACTAACTTCGAAAAACGGAGAAATTACTTTTTTACCCATGACTCAATCTCTTATAGTTGCGCTCCAGATGCTCACGAAATTCACGATTTGCAGTTTTTTTACAGGAATGCATTCCAGGTTCCAAAAAACCTGTAAGTCAAAGCACTTTTGTGAGAGTAACTTGCACTCTCTGTCAGAGGTTGCAGAATTTAGTTCGAAGTTTTTCTCCCTGCAAGTTCCTGAAAAGTGTCAAACAATAGACAGGGTTGCATTTGTATACAAAACGCAACTTAAATGAGACTTTTCTACTTTTGAATTTGTTGTAAATTTCATGGATTGATTTATTTCTTATTTTATAATAGTAGCTGACATAATAGACTTCAGATGAAATTTATAGCACAAACTAAATACGCAATTGGGCATCATCGTTGTAAATTTTTTGTGGTTTGGTTTATTTTTTTAATTTATAATAGTAGCTGACACAACAATAGACTTCAAATTAAATTTATAGTACAATCTAAATACACAACTGGCTTAGTTTAAAATTGTATCATCAAATTCTTCATCCTTTCCAACAGGCTGAACAGCAACTTTACGTAAAACTTTGTTCACAACCTCATTTAAAGATTCTCTCGCACCAATCTCCAAAATTTGGCATACCAAATTAAAAGTAGTATCGTTATCACGTAGATGTAGAATTGCTATTAAAGCTATTTCAGAATTGGACTTCACATAGCCATTTTTTTCTTTGGTGCCATTAACTAACATCGGTACAAGCAATTTTAAAATATTTGGGGTCATCTTATTTGCGGTTAGCTCCTTTGCTAAATAATTACAACATTTGGCAACAAGTTGTTTTATTTCATTGCTCTTATGGTTCATAGCTCGAGTAAAACTTGAAACGATTAACGGTGAGTAAGGAAGATCATTTGACAAATAAAATTGTAACAAGCAAGTTATTGCGCGAACACCGTTGCTAGCAATATTAACCTTTTCAGAGGAAATGCTATTAATAATTATTTCTATTACCTTCTCTTCAAATTTCGCGGTTACAATTACGTCAGGACTCTCCTTTATTGCGACGAAAAGAACTGTGGTGCGACCATGTTTTAACGGACCATCCTCGTTGCTTACAATCAGTATGTGCTGCTGTAGTATATCCTCCAATTGCTGAGATGCTAAATATTTCAGAAGTGCGCCCAGACAGCCTCCCGAAGCAGACCGAGTAATATCTTCTGAATGAGCTATCATAGTTAGAAGAGTAGTAAAGGCTTGTTTTTTAAAACCTTCGGACATTTTTACCCCAGCAAAAGTGATAAGCGAACGCATAGCTGCTAACATAGTTTCTCGTAAGGAGGAATCTTCGCTCGACTTGATAGCATTGTGAATTTCATTAAATATTGGATCAGGACGGGAATGAACAATTACAAGTTCTGTTACAGCTTGCCCGGCTTTCATGCGTACAGTTTTATTTGGATCGTTTAAAGCTTTCAGGAATGTTGTTTGCAGCTGTGGCAAAAACTGTTTCAACATGACCCCTACCTTTCGCAGCAAAATAGCTAGTGATTCTAGTACTGCCGCTTTAACTCCCGCATTAAAACGGTCTCCCAAAATACGTATTAATGGTCCGGTTATTTGAACAACGGATGGCTGTAAGGATTGAGCATTTGTTAATGCAATGACTTCACCTAGCCCTTGAGTAGCATTTTCTTTTACATCTGGCATACCATTTAAAATTGCCTCTCGAAAAATAGGAAGCAAAGGAGTAATTCCTTTTGGAAGGCAAAAACCTGGCAGTTCGGAACCATTTAATTCACTTGCAGCGAATCTAACAGCTTGCCTAACGTCAGACACATGGGCGATTTGCTGGTTTGAATCTAAGCCTCTCACAACCGCGTTTAAGGCATCCCATGATCTTTGAAGAATATCACGATTTGAATCGGCCATCAATCGCAATAAACAACGTAGCAATTGAGGTACATACTGTGAATAATCGCCGGGAGTGTGTGTACAGAAAGCAGAAAGTAAACTTGCCGCCGATTTTCGTGTCTTCACGTTCTCAGCCTTCGCAGATGTCATTAAAATGTCCACAATTGTACGAATACCGGTTTCGTCTGTTACTGATAGGATAACTGATTGACAATAGTCTAGTTCTTGTTGTTCACATGAAGTTCCTTGAGAGTCCGACAATGTTTGAAGTAACGCATTTAAAATTTTAGGTAAATATTTTGTCAACGCATCTCCTGCAACTGATACTAAAATGGAAAGGGCCTTCGTATTAACTGGCGCTGTCGTTAGTTGAGGAACAAGGAACGGCAACACTACCCGCGACTTAATTGTCATGACTTGGCGAAGGCCATCCAAAGTATTTTCTGCAACTGCTGGATTGGGGTCGTTTAGACCTTCCAACATTGATGGTAAGATATCATCAAGTGCACGTGAGCCAACGGTAGAATGCAATGAATCGAAAGTTTTTGCTGCAGCTTCTCTGACTTCTGGCAATGGATCAGATAAAGCTCTTCTTACAGTTGGAACTAGACTGTTAACAAATGAAAATACCATTTCTTTGGAAGTTGATGCCATTATTTCCGATAAGCCGATACAAACGCCTTGACGCTGATCTGCGTGTTCTGAATTTAGACCCTTCTCCAAAATTGGAATTATCTCGGGAAGTACTCTTTCTCCTAGTTTTCTTACAAGATCACCTAGAGTACGCGCGGCAACTTGTCGTTTATCATAGCTTGTGCTAGCTAAACAGCCCAACAACAACCCGAATAAGGTAGGTAAAATTTCTCTTAGCGTGCGGGGTGTGTTTGTTACAACCACTTTCCAAACATGTAGAGCTGCTTGTCGCACCATTAATGATACATCACTTCGCCCCATATAAAGTCCCGATAGAACTCTATTTCGCCTTTCTTCGCCTAAAAATTTTATTATGGCACTATGTGACTGTTCGGTTCCAAAATTATCATCCTCGCTAGCCGTTTCCGTAGTCATCTTTCCAGACACTCCGGATATTCTATATAACAAATCACCTAATAGTTGAACAGAGCTAAATCGAATTCGCCAGTTATCATCAAACAATCCTTTTTCTAATTCCGGAAGAAGAAGCATTACTGCAGATTCTGCATACAAATTGACAATACGTTGTCCAGCTTTTAATGCTGTATCGCGAACATATTCATTTTCATCCGCCAATGCTTTTAATATCGGATTTATTATTTGTCCAATGTAAGGAGTAAATTCTCTAGGAAAGGGTCCGGGCATGTATATAAACATCATGATATATCCATCTTTAACATGTGGAGCAATATCCGTTCTTTCGGAAGTAGCGATAATATCTGGCATTAATTGATGTAGTTTATCCACACCTAGACCACCAACGACCTCTGCAAGGCCTTGAGCGGCACCGCTGCGATCAACGCTGCTAGTTTCGGAGGTAAGGGTTTGCATTAACCACGGTAGTAGATCTTCAAACGAAGATTCCCCAATTCCACGCACCATTGCTCCCAAGGCTCGCGCAGAAATAGCTCTTACTTCAGGCACCGGGTCAAGCAATGACATTTTTAGACCAGGAATTATGTTGGGCAAGTATGGAACTAAATCTTTTTGATCAGTTAGAGAGTACATGTTTCCAATGATTTGAGCAGCCATTTTTCGTGTTTCTGTAGATCTATCCATGAACGCCCTTTCTACAACAGGCATTATGAGTGCAAGGGATGGAGCATCAATAAAATGTACAAACTTTGTTTGAAGCAAACTGTGAAGGCAAGTTGATGTATTTTTCGATGGATCTTCCAAAGCTGTCAACAAAATAGGGACGATGGCTTGGATTTCTGGATTTTTAATAACGGATCCAATAACTTTTAGCGCGCAAGCACCAGCCTCTTGCACTTTTGTGTGGGAATCACCAAGAACTTCTATCAGCTTTGGAACAATGTTTGGTAAACATGATGACAATTGCTTTGGCGCACAGAATGCCATTGCTCCCAGGAGTTCAACCGAAGCCGTCTTAGTCCTCCAAGAATCCTCGTCTAAAGCATTAAGTAGAGACGGGAGAATAAGTTTGACTCCATGAGCTGATAGCCTCCCCATAACGACCTTTGCAGTATCATCAGCCGCTTGTCGTACATATTGCGAGGAATCTCCAAAACATTGCAGTAGATGAGGTAGTACATGCACAATATATGGCTCAAATAAACGGCCAAGAGTTGTACATAGTACTTCAAACGCGAAAAGTGCGCCTTCCCTAGATTTGTAATTTTTCTTCTCTTGTATAAATGTGGTTAACTTAGACATTATGTCGAATTGCTTTAGGGACAAGATTCCCAAACCCTTAACAATACCTGCTATTCCATAAGCTGCTCCCCTCCTCTCCCCATATTTATCAGACTTTATTAGTAACTGTAACAATTTTTTTATAATCTCGGGAGCCTTGTCTCGCACTGATGGAATTAAATGGGGTAAACAATTTGACACCGCTTCTTGTACTTGCTGAGAAGGAGTTGATAATGCCGCAATCAATCTTCGAACTATGGGTTCTATTCGAATATCGTCAGCTTCTAAGTGTCGCGCTAATGATCCCATTATGATAACGACAGCCTGTCTAACATTGTCATAGCTTTTAGATTTGGGTGCTTTATCCAAAAAATCTTCAAATACGGGTAATAAATTAACTATTGTTTCTTTGCCATGAAAATCGACTATGCAAAGAGCGGCAGCAAGCATTTCTTTATGAACGATTTCGTTACGATCTCCAAAGCCTTGCAAAACCATAAATTGCATAATTTGATCCACATCTTCAATATCAAAAAATTTACAAATTTGAGAAATTGATATTGCAATACCCCTGCGCGGTTCCCATTGATCAATCGCGGGAAAAACTTCTCGATCAAATTGATCCAATTGAGGAGGAATCATGGTTAATTTTTCCTTGTAAATGTCAAGCAAGGATTTAAGTACATATTTAGTCCGCTCTTGATCGTTGACAAGCAGTGATAACAAGGAATGTGCCGTTGCCTTTTGTAT